AACTCTGTACCCTTTTATTTTGTATATTTTATTAAGTTTTATTCGGATTTTTCGAGCCTAAAACGTATTTTTAGTGTACAAAAGATAAATCTTTATAACTTATGAAGCGAGAATACATTATCATAATTTTCTAATTGATTATAATAGTAACCTTAACAAATTTCAGATCTAAAATTTAGTAATCATGAATTAAATCAAAAGTTTTTGCATTTAAAATATTTAAACATGTGTATATAAATGTTTAGGGTTTCGACGATATATTTACATGCTAATATTTCGTTTCATGTTATTTCATATATGTTGATATAAGTAATATTATGCTTGGAAAATAATAATGTCACTTCTAGATTTGTTTCAAAGTAGACAGAAGAAACCTGTGAAGGGTTTCTGCGTGTTTTGGTTGATCGTCGGTATAGTTTGTGCATGTTTACTTTTGTTGTGTGCTTTAATGTGAACAAGGAGTCACCTCGAATATTTGGCATTATAAATTATTGTTAATTATGTATCTTCATATGTGAGATGGCTTGTGGACAGGAGTTTAGATTTGCACACCGAGACACGTGTGAAATTAGTGTATATGCATCCTTTTCATATATCTCATCGATATTCTACACATTTTATTCAGTCCATGTATTGGGCAATTATTATGTGTAGTCCATGTGTTGGACATTCATTATATTTAGTCCATGTGTTGGATATTCACTATATTCAATCAATGTGTTAGACATTCATTATTCAGTCCATGTGTTGGATAATTTATATATGCAGTCCATGTGTTGGGCATCTACTATACCTAGTCTTAGTCCATGTGTTGGACACCTTTTTAAACCTTGAGTATGATACTTACACTTACATAGGCTGGGCATGACACTTATGTGGGTTTTGACATGACATGGTATTTTAGTTCTGAGATGGGTTAGTCTTCTTTATATTATTGTTCCTGTATTAGATCTTGGGTTTGGTACTTAGGGATTTACAATTTGAGATACAAGGTATATACATGAGGGTTTCCTTGTTTGGATTATTTTGCTCAGCATACCTATGCTCGTGTTGTAATTTCCTAAATACTAAAATCCTCTTATTGTTAGGATCAATGATTTCATGTATATATGTATTAACTGTATTTTCTATATGCAACGAGCCCTCTCCCTTGGGGTTGGTTGTGGTGTTGCTCTCTAGCGCTTTGACACTCGTTGTCCCCTCCCATTTTAGGTAACAAGTCAGATGCATGGAGAGTCGTAGGTTTATGGTAATACTTATTAGCGTCCATCTTTCATTTGTAGTTTAATTTTATTTATGGATCTCCTTTGTAGATATTTTGTTTAGACATTTGAGAGTTATATTCTAGAAGTTGTAAATGCTATATGCCTTATTTCTTTTTATCAGATATTCTGTATTTGAGACTTGTTGAGATCTCCAGACTAGTTATTTCAGAGATTCACTTTATATTTTTGTATGTTGGATGATGAAATATCATTTTTATCTCTATTATTTTATCATATATCTCTTGTATTATTTTTTACTTGCTTTTGTACCTACACCTGTTGTTGACTCTACTAGAAAGATAATATTGTGATGGTGAAATATGTTATTGCACAATGTGGTGCATGGCAGGTTTTACATTCGTAGTTTCACTTTAGACTACAGCCTTGTGTGAACCCAGGGGTGTCATAGTTGGTATCAGAGCTCTAGTTTCAGTATCCTTAGGATCATCCTATGTCGAGTCGGGGAGCTAGGATAGAGTTTCTTAGGATTCATGTATAGAATCTGCTAAGGATTTCCTAGTATAAGTGAGGACGATATATGCGTATATCTTAAAATTTTGAGAATATTTTTTTATGACAACTATTTTGTGTAAATTTAAGTATTTGTGTGAATACTAAATGTTGTGAAAATCGTATTGTGATACATTATGTATATATATGTCCATTTTGACTCATGAACTCTTATTTCTTATTATCAGAGATGGCAGGACGTGGTAGTCCTCGTACTCGGAGAGCTAGACAGGGAGAGTCATAGCAGGATCTACCTGAACCACAGCAAGCTCAACCCAAGCCACAGCAGGCACCAGCTGAGCCGCAGTAGGCACCCCAGTACCTAGTAGATATCATGGCTCCCCTTATAGCTAGGATGATAGTAATTAAGGAGCTTGTGGCGAATCATATCACGCCACCACCACCACCAGTAGCTCAGCCGCAGGGGATACCAGCTGTTCCCATCAAAGAGAGATCCCCAGAGATCACACCTGTAGCTATTCCACTAGCAGTCCCGGATAGAGCCACAGAGCAGGAGGCTTGGCTCTGTATGGTAGAGAGGTACCAGAAGACGAGGGCACCAGAGTTCCAGGGGTCATCAGACCCTCTTGTAGCCCATAAGTGGAAGGAGTATATGAGTAATGTACTTGACATACTCAATGAGGACTCATTTCAGAAGCAGAGACTGGCATCTTACAGTCTGAAGGGAGACGTCGGGAGATGGTACCGACTCCAGTTTACTCTAGAGCATAGGATGACCCTCACATGAGAGGATTTTGTATATTTCTTTGATGAGCAGTATATTTCTTCTGCAGCATGGACTGGGAAGGAGCTTGAGTTGTCCCGATTGACTCAGGAGGATATGACAGTAGCTGACTTTGAGAGCAAGTTTATGGAGTTGCTGCACTTCACGGGTATGTGGCAGACAGGAGAGCGTCAGGCTCAGATGTTTCTAGTAGGGCTTCGTCCTAATCTTCATCGATACCTCGTCTTGAGGAAGTTTTATTTGTTTCGAGAGGTAGCTGAGGTCGTCACTTCACAGGAAATTAAGACGGTCATGTTTCAGAAAGACAAGGAAGGGAAAGCTAAGAGTGGACAGACCAGGGTTAAGGGTAAGAACAAAAGACCTTTTTATGGACCTCAGCAACAGCATCAGGGCCCTCATAAGAAGGGACCCCAGCAGGATTAGAAAGCACATCAGAAGCGCAAGTTTTAGGGGTTTGCTATAACTATCGTAAGGTCAGACACAAGGCATCGGAGTGCCACATCACACCAACAGGAGCTCAGTAGGGAATGTAGGCGTATAAAATTACCTATAGGTCCCTTAGCATGGTTCAGCATGATGGTTCGACAAATCAACGGATGTTCGAGGAGACGAGCGATAAAGACAACACACACAACAAGCATATTTATCGCCTGTGGAAGCAAATCCAACAGTCTCGGGAAAGTCAACGAGGAGTCGTCACAACGACAAAAATAGATTTGTACCTCAAACACCGAGGCGGAAATACTTGCCCAAATAAAGACCGGCGGCTATTTCAAATCAAGTCGACGAAACGAGAAGAAAACAAACGAAAACTAAAGACGGAAAACCGGAAAACGGCGAACGGAACACATCACCGGGGACTCGGCCTAAATCCGAGCCACCCGGGTGGCTCGGGCCTAAGGCCGAGCCACCTCAGGTGCTCGGCATGAGCCGAGCCACCCTCATCAGGTGGCCCGACTCCCCCCCCCCTCGTCGTCGCTTGTGCACAAAGGCAGCAGTTTCAGAGAGGGCTATAATAGGGGGGTGGATTGTTCTATTGAGGGACTTCTTCTTCTGAAACTTTTGAGAGAAGAGCCGAAACTCTGCCGATTGTCACCCATCAACTCGGAGATGTCTGAAGCTTTGAAGACTTGGAGACGACCGCGATTTTTATTCTTAGCGGCACCGCGACACGAAAAAGGCAGGGGTTCGAAGAGAGTCTATATCTCAGATCTACGTCGTTACAACCTCGGATCTAAAGCTGAGTTCTTAGATCCGCGAGATTACGAGCAGGTCGTTTCCCTGGTGAAAACGATCCCTCGTCCGGCTATTATCTTCTTGTGGCATAATACCCGTAAGTACGCTCGTAGATCTGGCTTGGATCCAGATCAGGCTGCGGTGTCCGTAAGCACGCCCTGGCGCAGGCAAAGAACCCCAGAAGCAAAGAGACCGCGAATAACAGATCTTGTGATTTGTTCGTAAAAAGGAGAGAAGTTGTATT